CCAGGCTGGATGAGGCTTTGAGCAACCTGGTCTAGTGGAAGGTGTCCCTGCTGATGGCGGGGGGGGTTGGAACTGGATGAGCTTTAAGGTCCCTTCCAACCCAAACCATTCTATCATTCTATGATTCTATGATTCAGAAGGTGATTGGTAATTTTTAGGCTGACATAAAGGGTGTGTATATACTGTTTGCATGGGTTATACTTCCCAAAGCTCCCGTAAGAAAGGGGAGTTACACCACAGTGAAGCTGCCACCAGCCAAGGTGTATGTAGCTAGGAAGTGTGCGATGATAGTTTTGATCCTCCGTGTACAGTTTTAGACAGAGATCTGTCACGCTTGCTAAAACTTTCAAGCAGAAATTACATTAACAATGCTCTGATTTGCTCACCCCAGAGGCTGGGGAGAAGGACAGCCCAGAAATAGAACATAAAAATAAATGTGTTCTGGTAACTAAACCAGTGTTGGCACAGCGTCTCTGGACAGGGAAGTCCCCTAGTCAAGAATGGGTGAGTAGGGACAATAGCTGGATCAGCTTCCAGAGAGCTCCACCCTGGCTGGAGGCATCCATCCTTCTTCATTCTGGGGAGTCACAGGTCTCTCTGCCACCTGGAGCACCAATTCCTTTCTCAGATGCCAATCAGCAGCCATGCAAGCTCTGTTAAACAGCTGGGCTGTTCCTCTGTTCTCAGTCCCCATAGCTTAGTCTCGCTAAGAAGGTCTGGAAAAGCTGGCAGACCCCAGTTCAGAGGCACGGGCTCCATGTTTCTGTACAGCTACAGCTCTGTCTTTGCTTGACTGCCGTTGTTTCTGGTGATACTGATGGACAGACAGACAGTCATGCTGAGCAGTGAGAACTGAGGCTGAGGAGCTGAATCTGGGAGTCCTGGTGGACAGCAGGATGACCATGAGCCAGCACTGTGCCCTCGTGGCCAGGAAGGCCAATGACATCCTGGGGGGCATTAGAAGGGGTGTGGTTAGTAGGTCAAGAGAGGTTCTCCTCCCCCTCTACTCTGCTCTGGTGAGGCCACATCTGGAATATTGTGTCCAGTTCTGGGCCCCACAGTTCAAGAAGGACAGGGAACTGCTGGAGAGAGTCCAGCACAGAGCCACCAAGATGATGAAGGGAGTGGAGCATCTCCCTGATGAGGAAAGGCTGAGGGAGCTGGGGCTCTCTAGCTTGGAGAAGAGACTGAGGGGAGACCTCATTAATGTTTATAAATATGTAAAGGGCGAATGTCATGAGGATGGAGCCAGGCTCTTCTCAGTGATGCCCAATGGTAGGACAAGGGGCAATGGGTGTGAGCTGGAACACAGGAGGTTCTGCTTAAACTTGAGAAGAAACTTCTTTACAGTGAGGGTGACGGAGCCCTGGGACAGGCTGCCCAGGGAGGGTGTGGAGTCTCCTTCTCTGGAGACATTCAAGACCCGCCTGGACGCCTTCCTGTGTAATTTCATTTAGGTTCCTGCTCTGGCAGGGGGATTGGACGGGATGATCTTTTGAGGTCCCGTCCAATCCCCAACATTCTGTGATTCTGTGTGAATCAGCATTTGTTCTTCACCTGACTGAATGGTACAGATGGAAAAAGACCAAATACTAATATCAGCCTGACATTAAAGATCTTGTCTGTGAGATACAAGAGGCTACTGGTAACCAAGAACCTTTCTGCTCACTAGGATGGAGGTACAGAGAAAGCCCAGTCACCTCGCCGTTATCTGCAATTAAAAGAGCCTTTTTTATTAGTGTAATTTTTTTTTGAGCTTCCTTAGAGCTGGGTTCTGACACAGCTTTGGGTGTGGAGATCCACAGGAAGATCTGGGTGCTGTTCCCATTGCTATGACTCACACCAGCGCTGTGAGCAGTGGTGAGCTTGCACAGTAACATCGTGCAGGACTTGTGCAGGATCCTTCAGAAGGTGGTGTTGGTAGCTCCATGCAGCCATGCTTTTCCAGATAAGAGTGAGAACCCTCAGCACATGGCATCAGAGAACTTGTATTGGAAAAGTGGTGTCCTTATCCTTCATATATATCCTGGCTGGAATTGGATGGAAAAGCTTACCTTGAGTGCATTTTGCAGTTTCAGTGGGTTGTACAAGATAGCTGATATCCCAGGTTGGATGAGGCTTTGAGCAGCCTGGTCTAGTGGAAGGTGTCCCTGCTGATGGCAGGGGGGTTGGAACTGGATGAGCTTTAAGGTCCCTTCCAACCCAAACCATTCTATGATTTTATGATACCCTGCATGCCCTAAGCTTTGTAGCAGTGGATTAATTGCCAAGCAGGGGTTTCATTTCAGCTTGGATGATCGAACTCCTGTAGCCTGAGTGCACTGTGTGTGACACAGAGTGGCCCTCCAGAAGCCACACAAATGCACAAGCACGTTCCTGTCCCACAGAGTGAGCCCCTAGGGCTGTTTTGAATGTTTTGTGGTATCTGGCTTTTGATGGCATCTATCAGCTATGGCTTTCATTTCACAGAGAGGGCAGCTTCATGTACAAGCAAGACTCGTACTCAGAGTTAATCAACATCACCATTGATTAAGAGTTGGGGGTCAGGACCTGAGGCTTTGCTCTGACGGGTGGGCAGCTTTGCCTTCCTCAGATAGGAGCCTGGTTCACTTTGCAGGCAGAGTCAAAGGGCCATGGAAGATTCCAGGTCCTGTTCCCCAAGTGAGGAAGACCTGGAAGGTCTTACACTGGAAAGATGCTCGCTGGGTTACTGACCTTTATTCATATAGACATGAATGTCACCAACCTTGCTGGGAGCAGGATTTGATGCTCTGCCCTGGCCCTTTCATCTCAGGAAGCCCCAGATGCTGACTGCCACTGTAGGTTGGCATGGCACAGGCTGATCCTTGTGCCCTTCTGTCCCTTCCTTTCAGCTTGTGTCACACTGATATATTGCTTGACAGCTCTGTTGCTTTAACTTGGTGGCATCCCCAGAGTAACACACAGGAGACATCAGCTTGATGGGGGAGATATTTCAGCACAGAACTGAAACTGGTCTCACTTGCCTCCAAAAAGAGACAGCAGTGCATTTCCCACCTCTGATAGCCCCAGCAAAGGCCCACAGAGTGTTTGCACGTGCCTGTGAAGAAAAGAGTGTTTGTCATCTGCACAAGAGGTGGGGAGGGAGACTAAGGCAAGCTCTCTGCAACCTGCTGAAGCCAGGGGAAAGGCCAGAGACCTCTGGTGTCCTGAACAGAGAATATCTCAGCTCTGATTTCATTCACAGGGTCAGGCCCCACAAGGAAAGGGAGAGAAACAAACAGAAGAGAATGCCAGGAAGGGGCAAGGCTGAGGGGGGAAATGAGCCTACCTCCTCCAGTCCCCCTTGGATTTGCCCTCAACTCCCACACACACTTTCTTCTCCTCCTTATCTCAGCGGCTGGAGGAAGTGCTGCTGGGAAGGGGAAGCCTGGTGCAGAGTGGGCAGAGCTGGCTATGGATCACCCTGACCCCAGCTCTGGCTGGCTTTGCAGAGAAAGGGGGAAGGGAACTTGGCAGAGCCTTCTGCCCTCTGGGTGCATTGAGCTCCTCACTTTAAGGAGTGGCTGGGATTTTGGGAATGTCCATTTTGGGAATGGTTGTTGCTACTGCTGCAGTGAAGGGAGGTCAGCACTGAACCTGCTTAGTGACGTGTCTTTGCAGACTCTTTCTGCTGCAGCTGCCAGCTCTCACAGCCTCTCCTTGGAGAGGAACGCTCGGAGATCCCGTGCCCCATTTGCTATCACTGCCACTACCCTCCTGTCCTACAACTGGAAAGCTTCTGATGTTGGATTTAAGCCACCCTGCCCAGCTGAAGAGCACTCAGACTGGACCACCTTCTGCTCTCATTTGTGCCTTGCTCCATTTTACCTGAGCATCCCGGAGAGCTTTTTATTTGTTTAGATGTAGAATAACTTGAGGATGTGCAGCCTACTGAGTACGTCACAAGAGCTCTAGTGTTTCCTGTAGTAAAAGACTCTCTCTGCCAAGTCCCTGTGAGTTGAGGCTTATTGCCTGATGAAGGCTGAGCATGGCAGGGAAACATCTGCAGTGTCTGTACTGATTGTGTCTGTGTGGTCACTCTGTACAGTCTCAGTTAAGACTTTTTTCTACTTTGCCTGACAGGATCTGCAGAGATGATTTTGTTTCTTCTGGTCAGGAAGAATTTTCTCTTGTATTTGAAAGGCACTGGGGTACTGCTCCTTGGAATGTGAACACTCAAAAGCTAGGGCAGGTTGTCATGAAGTCAGCTATGTGATGGCTGGATGAGAAGTTGGGGTTTTTTTTAAATAAAAAAGGAAACTGAGGGAGACTTTGGTTGGACTTTACCTGTCTCATTGACCTAAGGAGAATGAAGCTGATCCCAGCTGTACCCAACAGCCATGCAGCATGGTCCTCTTCTGAGCCAGAGGGCTCTACTTACATGGGAGAGCCCTGACTATCCCAGTGTGGCCAGACTGATTCCCATGCAAAGAGTTATCCCTTGAGATAAGGGGTGGATGGGGAGAGAAGATTCACCAAGCTCAGCTCTTCTTACTGTTCTCTTCCTCTGTTCTCCAGGTGGATTACGACGTCTGTAGCAATTACGGTAACTGGTTATACAGCGCTGGTGTTGGCAACGACCCGCGGGACAACAGGAAGTTTAACATGATTAAACAAGGCCTGGATTACGATGGCAATGTGAGTCTTGGTTGGCTGTCTTACAATGAATGGTGCAGCAAAGGCTGTGTGATAGGATCATAGGATGGTTTGGGTTGGAAGGGA